CTAACTTATATGCTATCCTAGAACCTTAATCCAGCAGCTGATGGAAGTAGAAGCAGACACCCACAGCTAAACCTTGAACTGAACTGGAATCCAAGTGCAGAGAAGGAGGAGTGATGAGCAAAGGGGTCCAGACCAGGCTGGTGAAACCCACAGAAACAGCTGATCTGAACAAGGAGGAGCTCTTGGCCCCCAAACTAATCACTGGGAAACCAGCATAGAACTGATCCAGACCCCATGGATGTGGGTGTCAGTGTGGAGCCTCGGAAATCTATGGGGCCTCTTGTAGTAGATCAGTACTTAACCCTAGCATAGGAATGGACTTTGGGAGCCCATTTCACATAGAGGGATGCTCCCTGAGCCTAGACACACAGGGGAGGGCCTAGGCCCTATCCCAAAGAATATGACAGACTCTGAAGACCCCCCTATGGAAGACCTCACTTTCCCTGGGGAGCAGAATTGGTATGGGATAGGTTGGGTGTTAGTGGGGGCCATGGGAGGAGGGGAGGGAGAGGGAACTGGGATTGACATGTAAAACAATCTTATTTCTAATTTAAAGAAAAAATGAAGAAAAAATGACATATTTGATTGGGACTCTTACTAAATCGTTCAAAGAACTCTTCAACAGTGAAGAAAGGAGCAAGCCAATGAGAAAACAGGCAGATGAACTGACTAGGCATCACACTGAAGAAGTTACATTGGTGGCCAGAAGCTCAAGGAAAGATGCTGACCATCGGCAGGCATTGCAGCATTGGAAAAGGTGACAAAAGAGAAGGCAAAGCAAAGCAAAGCAAAGTGAGATACAACACAGAGCATTAGAAGGATCCGGATCTAAAACGGCATCAGGCTAGGTGAAGATCCAGGCAACGGGAACTCCAATGGCGGAGGCGGGCACTTTAGAAGACCATGTGGCATTAAACATGATCTGATACAGGACCCAGCAAACACACCTTTTAGTGTTCAATTAGAATGAGTGAAAACTTAAACACAAAACCTGCTGAGATGTCCAAGCAACATCATTGACAATTTCTAAACCTTGAAAGTAACTGAGATACTTTCTAGTTGGCAAATGGATAAATTATGCTAATCCAGACAACAGGGCATTGCTCAGCATCAAAACAAAACAAAACACCCCCCCAAAAAAAAAACAAAACAAGAAATAAACCAGGAAACCTCAAAAGACCTAGAAGAATCTAAAATGCATGATATTAGGCAGAAGAAGTCAGTCAAAAATAGCCACATACTGTGTAATTCCAACCATGGGGAAAGGCAACACTCTGGAGAGAGCTGAAAACGGGGAAACGGTGCAGTGGTCATGAGGCCAGAAGAAGAGATGAGCAGGTAAGGGTAGCAAACAGGGCTTTATTTATTTATTTATTTATTTATTTATTTATTTATTTATTTATTTATTTTTTAGGTAGTGCTTTGGATCAAACCCAGAGCACTGAGTATGACAGGCAAGTGGTGTAACACTGAGCTGTGTCTCTAGTACAAATAGTATTCACTTGTTAGAATGCCTACATAGGTCTTAATCAAACTGGACAAATTAAAACCATGCTAAGAATAAGGAAAGTAAGTCTCACTGCCCCCTCATTTAAGCGTTGTGGTGACACATTGTTTATGATCTGATAAAGCCACTGGTGATCAAAATGCAAAGCCAGCCACAGCCATAGAGCCAGGCAGTGGTGATTCTCACCTTTAATCCCAGCAGCCACACTAGATAGTCATAATAGAGGCCAGGTAATGGTTGTGCACACCTTTAATGCCAGGACTCAGGAGGCAGAGACAGACTGATCTATGTTAGTTCAAAGCCACACTGAGCTACATGAAACAGATCCCGTCTTAAAGACAAAAAGCTCACACGAAGGTGATCTCAGCACTTGGGATCACATGCCTTTAATCCCAGCACTAGGGAGGTGGAGACAGGAGTGAGATGGCTGGGCGGAGAGAGGACTATAAGGTGGGAGAGGACTGCAGTCTGAGGCTTGGTGGAGAGCAGTGCAGTCTGCATTGTACTCTGAGGGTTGTGGAGACAAGATCACCATTTCAGTCTGAGGTAGAGGTAAGAGCTAGTGGCTGGCTGTTTTGCTTCTCTGATTTTTCAGCTTGAACCCCAATATCTGTCTCTGGGTTTTTATTATTCATGCTACAAGAAGTCCTATTATAAAACCTTAATACTTATATCCAAGTGTGTGTGTGTGTGTATATATGTGTGTATACATGTCATGAGCATGTTTGTGTGGGGAGTGTGCAAACATGGATATACATGTATAGACAGACTAAAGGTCAATGTCTGGTGTCCCCTCAATTGCATCCCACCTCATTTATTGAGACAGAGTCTTTTGCTGAACCTGGAGCTCCATGTCTCTGCTAGGACAACAGCCCAGTGAGCTCCAAGATCTGTGTCTGCCTCCGCACATTGGGATTACAGGCACAAGCTACCATACCCAGCTTTTAAGTGGTTGTTGGGGATCTGAACTCAGGTCCAAGTTTGCAAGATAAGCACTTTACCAACTAAACCATCTCCCCAGCAGAATCTCTATTTTCTTGCTAATAAAGGAAGTAATATAATGGCTGCATATGCAGTTCAACTGATAGGGAGCTTGCCTAGCATACATGAAGCACAGGGTTTGGTCATCATTAGTGACAGTGATTTCAAGGCCAAGCTTAGGCTACATGAAACTCTTAACAAACCGGAGAAAGGGAATGCAACCAGCCCGCACCCTTCTCCCTTAATCCCTGCTGATATCCTGTGGCTAGGCCTCTAGTCTGGGGTGACAGGGACCAGGGATTGAGGATGACTGAATACTCTAAAAAACTGTCCTCCTAGCCAGATGTCATGACTTTAATCCCACATTTGGGAGGCAGAGGCAAGTGGATCTCTGTGAGTCTGAGACCAGCCTGGTCTACACAGAGAGTTGCAGGACAGCCAGGACTGTATAGTAAGACAGTATCTGTCTAAAACAAAACCACTTATCAACTTATGTCCCCATGCTTATGTGTAAGGGATCACTTCCGGACCTGAAGAGCTGCAAATTTGTATTCACATTCTGACCTCTTAAGATGGTGAGGTGTAACACCCCTAACTTGATACAAGCCTTCCTTACATGGACACATGGGTTTTCCTTCATGATCCATACATCCACCTCTCTCTACCTTGCTCGCTCACCTCCAGCCCTTCCTGCATCTTTGCTGTCCCTACAACACAGCCGGCACATGTCAGCCCTCATGCAGCCTCCTCTGTACTTTCCTGTTCATTCTCTGGCAGTGGTCACTCTATGTTCACCTTCTCCAACTTACACTGAAACTTTAAAAGGCCACATTCCACACTCAAAGATGCAGCAGCTACCACAACTTACACAGACTTCAAGTTTGGCTTCTTTACTTCCAACAGGATTAAGATCAAAGCAGTCACTTTATTTCTGTCCCCTCTTACAAGCATTAAACGCTGCTGCCCCTTCTCTAGCTTGGCTTCCTCCTCTGCAACTATCCACCGTCTAATGCTGCTACCCAGTCAGCTCTGCTGCCACACCCCTTTAAGATGCTCTTTGCAGCCTTCTCTCCAAAAACCTTTATAACATCTGCTCTCTGTGTCTTTCATCAGCAAAGTCACCAGAGTTCCATGACTATAACAAAGGCGCACATACTAAAATGTGCTTGATTCAAAAAGTAATTGAGAAGTGGCAAAGCTTAAAAGTGTCCAGAAAAAGAAATACATAAACGTTTCAGTTTATGCTAACACATTTCTCCTCTGGTTATTCTTCAAGTGTATCTTCACTTTCACTTTGTCATCATCTTTCTGGCTGGAAAATCGTCTTCTAATGCAATATATCCAAGTCATGCCTTTGCTGAGTTCCAGTCCATTCAGCACTGACCTCCACCCTCTGACCATGAGGGACAGCAGAAGATGCCACCTCTGATATCTCCCTTCTCTAAGTGAGGTGATTTGAAAGAAAATGGGAGGTGTGGCCTTGTTAGGGTAGGTGTGGCCTTGTTGGAGGAAGTGTGTCACGGTGGAAGCGGGGTTTGAGGTCTCATATATACTCAAGCCATGAGCATGTGACAGTTCATGTCCTGTTGCCTTTGGATCAAGATATAGAACTCTCCAGCACCATGTCTGCCTGCATGCCACCATACTCCCAGCCACAATTCTCCCTGCCATGATGATAATGAACTAAACCTCTGAAACTGTAAGCCACCACCTCAGTTAAATGTTTTCCCTTATAAGAGTTGGGTTGCTGTAGTCATGGAGTCTCTACACAGCAACAGGAACACTAAGACACTAAACAAGCATCTCCCTGCTTCACTGAGCCTCCATTTCAAATTGGATTTTAGCAGAAAATGTTTTTGTTCTCCAACACATATTTGGAAGCCTCCTTTTGCTTTCTGCATATTATTTATGCAGACTGTAGCTTAAAAATATGAGGACACATCTATGTAATCAGACCTGTGAAAATGTCTGCTATGAAATGTCACTGAATAAATTATTTTCAGACAAGTTATTTTGAAATTAAAAGAAAATGTTGACTTGTTGTTGTCTTAAGTACACTAAGAAGCAGGCAGATCTCTGTGAGTTTGAGACTAGCCTGGTCTACTGAGAGAGTTCCAGGGTACCCAGAGCTATACAGTCAGACCCTGTCTCAAAACATTATAGCATTAGAACATTTGTTGCCCTCTGTCACTATATTACATAATGTAAAGTAATTTAATTGCTTTCACGGTGCACTTTGATCTCTTCCCTGATTTCAGCGGACTATAAACATTTTTAGGTTTTCCTCAGAATTAGAAATAAGCTAGGGGAAAGGAGCAGAATTTTACTTTGAAGTCTTTCCATGGTACCTTATGCTATTTAGACTGGAATATAAACGCTTCAAGATACGGTGAAGTGTTTCTGCATTCTATAGCGAGTATCCTGAGGGTACCCTCCATGCACACAGCCAAATGATGTCGGGAATACCCCCAAAGGGTTACAATCTCCCTCCAGCCCACGGGAGATTACTCACCAGATTTTCTTGCTTTCAATGCAATAACAGCCGCTAGCTCTCTCTGCACCTAAGAAAACATTAGGGAAAGAAACCATGTTAGAATAAGAAAAATGGAGCCACCAAGGCAGCACTTTGTTTGTAGCTAAGAAGCCCACATTAGGGGGCTGCTGCAGGGAGTCTGAAGCTTGCCACCATCACTGCTTTATTTTCCTTCCTTCTTTCTTTCTTTCTTTCTTTCTTTCTTTCTTTCTTTCTTCCTTCCTTCCTTCCTTCCTTCCTTCCTTCCTTCCTTCCTTCCTTTCTTTTTTCCTTTCTTTTATATGTAGGGAAAACCATGGCAGCATTTCAGACCAAAAATCTGGAAGAAATCACACTGACTTACTTTTTTTTTAAAGAGTGATTTTTATTTAAATTTTTTATTTTTAAAAAGGCTATTTGGTGCACATTGTGACATATATATGCCACGATGAGCACTTTAAAAACATCTGTATGTAACACCCAGAAACAGTAAGGATATGAGCTGTTTGCAATGACATTCTGACAAGCACAGTGAGTACCAAGTGTCCCTGGGGATGCTAGTCCATTAGGAATTCTGGAAGCACTAGAATTCTAGATGGGTGATACTGCATTAATAGACCTCAGCTCTGATAACAATGAACTCTTGCTGTACGCTGAGCAGGTGACAGGAGCCACTTTGGATAATCTGCAAGGTAAAAGTAAGTGGCACTGGCTCGCAGGGCAGGTAGAGTGGGAATAGAAAACACTTTTAAAATCCCAGGGGTCTTTAACCATGCTTATCTTCCAAAACTTTAGCACATATATGCTGATGCCCAACCCAGTGTGAATGCTTACATCCATCCTTTAAAACATTACACAATGAACATTTTGCAAGTAAAACTGCTTGGACAGAAGGGTCTACTGTGTGATCTACAGCAGCTCCCAATGCCACTAAACATGAGAAGAGGTGATGAAGAGGTGGAAAGATAGAGAGGCAAAGTGGGTTTTTGTTGTTGTTGTTTTCTGTTTGCTTCCTTTTGGGGTTTTTGTTGTTGTTTTTTTTTAATCAATATTCTTACTTGTATTTTTTATTTTAATTTTATTTTCATTATTTCTTTTTAAATTTTCTTGCTGGGGAGACACTACAAGGGTGAAGGGCGGACATGGAGGGACTGGGAAATGAGTGGGGTTGGGGTTTACGATGTGAAATTCCCAGAGAATCAATTTAAAAAATTATGCTAAGGAATTTCTCAAAGAGAAACATAAAAGACAGAAAGGCTAAGTATACTTATCATCAAGATCATATAAACAGTCTTGAAGAAATCCATGCTTGGTAGCAATTTAAAACAAACTCGGTGAGTGAGTTCTTTTCTCATCAAGGCACAACCTCGTGTGTGTGTGTGTGTGTGTGTGTGTGTGTATGAATATATTAACGTAATGACACTTTAAAGGGGAAACACGGGAGTTCAAGGTTAAATTGCAGATTTGCCATTCAAATTAATTTAATTTGTATTCATTTACTGGAAGGCAAGAGTGCTAATGTATTAGACCCTAAGACTCCACCCAGGACCATTTCCCAGTCGCCCAGGCATAGGCTTCCTGAGGAAGGAAGCTTGCTCAGCGGTTTTACTGACACACTTTCCCTATGGGTTGGCACAAATGTCATTCCAAAGTGCGCACACTCTGATTTAGCCGATTCTTCAATGCCTGGGACTCTCATGACAATTACACAATGGTGAGTAGGCAATCAGTCTCTTTCTCTCCAGCCTTGGGAGTTTGGAGTCTGAACATGTTCATGAGTAGAAGGTTTATGGGGAAAGAATGAGATGGTGGTGGTGGGGTTACTGAGGAAGTAAGAACTGATGAGCAACCATGGGAAAACGTCTATAAATACATTGTGCTTGCTCAAATAAATAAAAATAAGCAACAAAATAAAGTTTCAATCAACAAACATCTTATATGAGTTGTGTACAAGGTTTATTATCGTAGCATTGCCAACCACTTTAGGATTTTCCTCCTTCACTGTGCCACAAATTTTCTGGAATGGAACAAAGATGTCGATTACGGACATTCCCTTGCACCCTGTCGATGGCTGCCTGACCTCTGACGGCCCAAGGATGGACCTCAGGGTGAGTCAGAGACAGGAAAGTGCAGAAATTGGATCATCAAACTTGCTCCTAGAGAACCAACAGCAGCCCTTCCCACCTCAGCTCTACCTTTCTACACCTAAACGCCTTTCACGGGTCTTCAGCCTTTACTCTCTCGCTCAGAATAAGGCTCAAAATAAATAACACAGCTCAGAAATGAAAAGCAGTGTATTCTAATTATATAACACTGTATAATTTCCAAAGATTTGGTGGGAAAGAAATTAACAGGATGAGCAATAAAAACAGTAGAAGGGAGGGGGCAGGAAGAAGAGAGGAGCAGGGAGAAAGAACTGCAGGCTAATTTGTGAGTAGCCTCGCCCTTTTGTCCACATAAAACGTATATGAGGTTACTGTACTCACTACACTCTCCGAATTTCTGCAGTGAGAGGACATGTGTCCTACACATGGCAGGGTTAGAACAGCTTCCATAATCCTGAGCTGAGGGGGGAGGAAAGCGTTTTGCCTGAACCCCCTTTCTTTCTACAAAGCACAAAAGTGAAAGTGCTGCTCGAGCAAGACACAAATTAGGTCTGGTCCCACTGGCATCTTCCCAGGCCGTGTTTGTTCCTAAACACCTGGCAGTTGTGCCATTAATTATTTTGAATCGTGTAGCTGCTCTGTGTCTTCAGAGCTAGATGCCCCACTGAGGAGGGGACCTGTATGTCTTTTACTGACATTACCCAGCATAAGGCATACCCCTCACTGAAAGACAATAGGTGGGTACAAAAGCATCTCTTGAGAGACTTAGGGAGTGAAAAAGTCACCTGCGAGAGGGAAAGGAACATTCAAAGGGAAGGCATCCCCTGCAGCAAGCTAAGCCAGCAGCAATCTTGTTAGTGTTTTTTCTCTGGGTAGCCCTGGCTGTCCTGGAACTCACTCTGTAGATGAGGCTGGCCTTGAACTCAGAAATCCACCTGCTTCTGCCTCGAAGTGCTGGGATTAAAGGTGTGTGACATCACCCAGCTAATGAATCTTAAAAATATAGTGGGATGACTTAATCCCCTTTTCAAATTGTTGTTTATATTCAAAGAATATGAGCAACTGCTAATATTACAGGTGTTGTAATTTTTAAAAAATGGCTCAAGAGAGAAAGACACCATGTGACAGAATTCAAGTGGAGGTTTTTTTAAATTTATTTATTTATTACATATACACTGTTCTGCTTGCATGTATGCCTGCATGCCTGAAAAGGACACTAGATCTTATTATAGATGGTTGTGAGCCACCATGTGGTTGCTGGGAATTGAACTCAGAACCTCTGGAAGAGCAGCCAATGCTCTTAACCTCTGAGCCACCTCTCCAGCCCCAAGTGGAGGTTTTTTTATATAAAAAAAAGTATTATTAGGGAAAAGGATCATAAAAGGGGGAAAGGTGGGGAGGGAGACCAGCCTCTGGGGACAGGAGCAGTGGAAAAGAGAGAGGAGAGAAAGAGAGAAGCAGACAGAAGAAGAGAAAGAGAGAGAGAAGGTTGAGAGGTGGTCAGGGCCCTTTTAAAAGGGAACATGGTGAACAAGAATAGGTGGTGCTCTTAGTGGCTGCAGCTGAGAGATATCCTGTCAGGACCCCAAGGGCAAGCCAGTACAGATGGCTAAATACTAACAATGGGAACTGTTAGCGTTAGAGAAGGAACACCACAGTCCAGTACCAGGAAGGTCATTTTGGGAGGACATAATAGTAATGGCAAAGGTCCTTGGCTAACTAAGGGGCTGCCCTTACAAACTCATTTAAACAGGATCAACAGTGAAGGATTTAAGGATTTTTTTAATTTTTTTTTTTTTTTTTTTTTTTTTTTTTTTTTTTGTAGATCTAGAAGTAGTTAGGTTTTGGTACCACAGTAGAAATGTTCTTAGGGCACAGGTGGCTTAAACATGTGGGTATGTCTTCTCAATTTCTTAAAGGTAAGAAAAAAAAATAGTCCTTTGAGTTTTATCCCCCAATATCCTAAGTTTTGAATCACTATAAAAGCTTAAGCTAAGGACCGGAGGATGGTTCGGTGGTTAAGAATATGGTGGCAGAGGGCCAGGATTCAACTCCCAGCAACTATGGGGCCACACAACCATCTGTAACTCAAGTTTTAGGGGGTCTGATACGCTCTTCTGGCCTCAGCTGGCAATACACATATGTGGGGTCTATCCAAACATGTGGCATGATAGGGGACGTCCTTCTGTTTTTGTGTTTCTCTTATTGGTTGATGCATAAAACACTATTTGGCCAATAGAGGCAGGAAGATAGGTGGGACTAGGAGACAAGAATTCTGGGAAAGGTAGGCAGTGAGAGCCTGAGAGGAGATGGCATGCAGCCACCATAGGAAAAACAGGCCTGGGCATTCACCGGTAAGCCAAGACCACGTGGAAATACATAGATCTATAGAAATGGGTTAGTAATTAAGACAGAGCTAGCCAATAAGAAGCCTTAGCCATTGGCCAACAGGTTTGTAATTTATATAGCATCCGTTTGTTTATTTGGGGGCTGAAGGGCAGCGGGACCTGGTGGGACAAGAAACCACCAGCAACAGTGGACAAAAACACCCAAATACATAATATAAAAATAACAAATCTTAAAAATAAAAACTTAAGCTAATATAGACTTTAAGAATTTGAAGGAAAATATAATTATACCTCTTATTTAAGGTATTTCCATACAAGACATGAATTGTGTTGTTTTTCTGTTGGCTTAGCAGCTGAACCTGAATCTACTGATATTTTAACTATTGTCTATGGCCCTGCAGTCAATGCCCCATCGCTAAGGATGTGGTCCTGGTGGGATTTCTGGCCCTACCAGCACTGGCTCTACTGTGGCTGCCAAATGTACTTTTTAACTAAGTCTCTATTGTTTTATTTACAAATAAAGACTCAGGAGGCAGATGTTGGGGGTAAAAACCTGCTGTCTCAGAGAGGCCAAGAAACTGACCTTCCTTTCTGCC